CTCTGAAATGGGTGCGCACAAAAATATGGGAGGCGGTATAGGGTAGGAGCCAGACGCGCTCAATCAAGGCATTCAATATCCAATCTCCGAACTGGCGACCGCATCATGATGCCAAGAACATGCCAAGACCGTTTATGAGAATCTAGAGCCGGCCAAGGGCGATGCTAGTCGCTCTCTTGGGGCTTTGGATGGAGTAAATGAGCTGGGTAGAGGAGGTGGGCGACTACAGAGCTCCACCCAAGTTTTTGGGGTCGGTCGCACATGAACTTGCGCTGGTTGATTTCTTAGGCACAGACCGTACCTGCGAGACATCTATCCAATCCGATCATGTTTATTGTGCACTGCCGGATTCTCTGTGGCTGTTATTTTTGGGCTGGAGGCTGCACTAGGGGGGAAACTGTGGCGGAGGGAGCCAAAAACAGCAGAGCAGTTACAGCGCGATTAGCGGTGTCGTTAGCGGTGTCATGAGCCACAAATTCCACAATTAGTGAGTGTGCAGTTCACGGAAAGTGGCGGTGGCTCGGGCGGTTAATCAAGGGCAGAATGCAGAATGTGCGGGAGGAAGAAGGAAAGCCACCGGCGATTCCCGTTTGCCAATTCATGCAGCACAGCTCATGCAAGACAAGACACAAAGCGCCAGTCGACAGAGAAATACGAGCATTCAGGCGGACCGATCGGGCCTAGCTGACCCGACTATTGGCAGCGCGCCTGGGGCAGGGCAGATTGTCTGCAGGGACGTGCCACGCCGTTTCGCGCTCCAGGTGCAATAGTAACCTGCTGGTCGGGAATAGTCTGTTCAGCTCCTCACACGGCCTTCGCGTAAGATTTCTATTCTTACCTCTAGCCCCTTGGCGGGAGTCGCCAGCGAGAGCCAGCCGCCGGCTTGAGGGGGAGGAATGGGGGGCTTACCGTAGGGCTGGAGCCCATCCGACCACCAACTCAGCAGCTCGGATTGATCTTACAGCAGCAGCGTCTGCCTACACGGGACAGAGAGCTCGCATGCAGGTCTGGCAGCAGCTGGTCATTGGCTGCATCCCGGGCGAATCGGTGGTAACCACGGCAGCCATAGCCACCTTGGCCAAGCCAAGCCCACCAGCCAGCCGGTAATCAGCATGCAGCCATCATGCGGTGGGCAGCAGCAGGTAGCAGCATTTGGCGAGATGGTGGTGGAATCATGGCGTCTTGCTCGCAGAGACAGGCAGTCGAGCCCGGTCTGGAGATGATGGACTTCACTTCGAGAATGAGGAGACAGTCGGCCGCTTCACCGCACCACCGCTCAGCTGCCAGGGACGAGACAGTGAACCAGTGGGCAAACCCAGATGAATGAATGCTTAAGCTTGATTGACTGACTCTGCCGGATAGCCGCTAAGCTCAGCCACGGCAGGCCAGACTGCTGATCGCCGAGCTTGTCTCTGCCTAGCTACAGCTCTAAACCCATGCCATGGCTTTGGCCTAGGCCTAGAACCTGCACTTGTCGAAATGCAGCCTTCAGCCGCCGCCACAAAGCCGCTGCGTCCAGGTGATGGTGATGACTGGTCCAGCATTGTGAATGGGTGGCCTGTGAGCTGTGTTGTGTCGTAGCTCGCGTTCAGCTTATTGGTATTAATTCTCTTTATCTCGCCAGTCCCGTCCTGGTCCTTGGCCACCTGTTCTTCGACCATTCACTCCATCACCACCAATTCTCCTCTCCAGAATCACCTCGTCACATCCAGCAGACATGCGCTTCACCACTGCTCTCATGCTTGGCCTGGCTGCCCGAGGCGGCCTGGCCCAGAGCTCCGCTGTCATCGCACCCGTACCGACTTCAGCCGTTGTTGTTGTGCCCACATCGCAGGCTCAGGCACCGACGAGCGCTGCTCAGCCTGTTGTCAGCAGCCAGGCTCCCGTCCAGCCGAGCTCTGCTGCTCCTGTCCGGTCCTCAGCAGCAGTTCCCACATCGGCAGCGGCCACCTCCGTCCCAGTGCGTTTTCTTGTCTACAGCTCATTCACGGGGGCATCGTGCTAACCTAACATCGCAGGTCATCGCCTCCTCGGTAGTACAGACAAGCTCCAATGCCGTACAGAGCAGCGCTTCTGCCTCACGATCGCAACAAACATCAAGTGTCGCGGGCTCCGTCGTCTCGAGTGTTGTTGGAGTCACGAGTGTCGTCAGCGGATCGACCATTGTCGGATCAACTCTCGTCCAGGTCACGACAACAGCCACCCGAGCTTCAGGCACTGCTACCTCGACCGCCTCCAGCGCCTCATCGAGCATTGCATCTGCCCTGCCTGTGCCTATGAAGGACTCGGTGCTGACCCAGAACACCCAACTCACCCAAGTGGAGGGACAGCCTGCAGTGTAAGTGCCAGATCAATTGGGAACGAAGAAGAAATCATCCGCTGACCACCGTCCTTCTCCAGAGTCATGAATGCTCCCACCTGGGGCCAAGCATCGTACTACGTCAACGCCGAGAAGCCCAAGGACGTCCCCCAGACCGAGAAGGTCAGGATCCTCGCTACCCTCCTCATCACGACTCCGGCTGCTAAGCGATCCTGGTGGAAGCGCCAGTCCGCCGCCGCGGGCTGCGACCTGAGCCTGACCGTCGACGGCACACAGGCCTACCAGACGAGCCTCAACAAGGACAGCACCACCTCCCAGGGCGGCAAGCTGGAGCTGAGCAGCGAGGCCGTCCAGGCCGGCACCCAGCAGCCCAAGCTCGAGTTCGCCCAGACCTGTCGCCAGGAGCCCGTCCAGGTGACCGTCTACCAGCTCACCATCACCGGCGAGAAGAGCAGCGTCCAGACCCCCATCAACCCCAACCAGGTCAACAACAACACCAACTCGAACTCGGGCAACAACTCGAGCGGCAAGGACAAGGACGGCGCCGGCTCTTCCCTGGCTGCTGGTAGCTTCACCGCCCTCGGCGTCGCTGCCGCCGTCGCTCTTTTCCTGTAGATGCGACGCGACTCCCGGCTTTGTTGCTTCCCTTTCACGATGGCGTTTCAGTAAAATATCTGAATATTGGGTGATAGATAATGTAATTTATGATATCTTTTGGGCAGTTTCTGTTCTTTCATTTGGCGAAATATTTTATTCTCAAGAGAACGAGGCATGATGCATGGAGCGAATAGTTTTATTATAGAATGGTCCATCAGTTCACACTCATCTATCCGTCACCAATCTACATCTTATTCATTTAAATTTTGATCATGCCTGCAATTGTCTGCCTTGCGTGATGTCCACACTAGTTTGTTTTGGGAAAGATGACCGACAACCTTCTCTTTCCATCATCTGTGACGGTGAGACGAGCTGGAGGCGGGATTGATATGCGACGCCGGCATCAGGGGAGGAAAGGAGTGAAGGAGGCCACGTTTTCGTGTAATTCATCTCTTGATGTCTTGGAAGAGGGGATCTTGGCTGCGAGACATGGCTGGCAGATGGAGAGCAGCTGTAGGGCTGAGGCCAGGGGAGTGATCATCGCATTCCGTCTCCACTGGTAGATCTGCAGCACCGAAGTTGATGCCAGAGTTTTCGATTGACGATGCTGGAGTCTGCGGCTATTGTCTCTTCTATAGGCAAGCAATCTACTTAACTGCTATCATTACTATACTTATCGTGCTCTCTCCTAGTTTGAGAAGAGAGGCGATACTCATCCATCTCTGAGCTGCCTGTCCTCCATCAACAGTTGCCCGGCTTCTTGGGTCAGCCCCCGCCCGGCAGATATTAATTAGCTTGGCCATTGACAGACCAAAGGACCAATAAAGGAGCTGAACTTCAGTCGCACCGATCGGCGCCCTTTATCAATATCTGGCATGGGCCACGCTGGGCACTGGCCCCCTGTCAGCTCTAAGCCTCATGACAGCGCGGCATATTGGGAGGAGAATGGGGTCTATTATAAGAAGGATGCCCCTCTCCAACCCTTGGCAATGGTTAGGTCATTTACCATTTGCTTCTCGCACCAAAGCCGACGTCAATTGTGCATGCCTCTCACCCATAGACCGCCATCTACAAATCCATACGAAGAAGCGCTATCTGAGCAGCTCGGGCGCGACAATGGGCGGTGTCCCGAGAAGCCAAGGCTGCCAAACGTGCAAGCAGCGCAAGATCAAGGTACACTCTGAGAGATGTCCCACCCATATACCAGCCTCCGGGCATCCAGATCCCCGCCCAAAGACTCAGTCAGGCTTTTTCTTAGGAAGGCCATGATTCGAACCGATCAGAGGAGGAAAGGTACTGACTCACGCGTGTCCAGTGTGATGAGACGTGGCCAATCTGCGCTCAATGCAGCCATCTCGGAGCGACATGCCCAGGCCCAACCGCCCTCGTCAAATTCGTCAACAGCAAAAGCCCCCCGAGCAAAGCAGCACCGCTCGTCTCACGCCCGGCCCCTCTAAGCAAACCATGGAAGTTCGCAGCCGACTCAAAAGACGTCCGGTCGAAAAAGGTCCATTATGCGAAAGTGGACGACTCGGCCGCTGGCAGCTACGGCCTCCTGTTCTTCGGCAAGCCCAAGGCGATGCCCACCACTCTCGCCGAGCGCATCGCGAACCGCCTCACCACCAAGATGCAGGACAGCCAGCACGGCGTGACGAGCCTGCACATGAGCTACCTCAACTTCACGCCCCGGCGCCTCGCCGAGAGCGCCTGCCTCCGCGACGCCGTCGACTGCTTCTGCTCCGCCTGGTCCGACTTCCAGAGCCGCGAGCCGCGCGGGGAGCTGATCGCCCTGCCGCAGTACGGCAAGGCGCTGAGGAGCGTGCGGCGGGCGCTGCTGAATCCCAGAGAGGCGCTGAAGACGGAGACACTGGCGGCCATTACGATCATGGAGCGGGCGTGTACCTTGTTTGACCGGCAGAACAGTGTTAGCATACACCTCAAGGGGATCGTGCAGCTGATTCTGAATAAGGGGCCGCCGGACCTGAATGATGATCTTGACGTGGCGGTGTCGAACGAGTCGCATTCTGCTCTGGTGGGCTGTCCTTGACTTTCTTATGTAGTTCAGATGGCTGACGATTTGTAGATGCCAACTTGGGTTTATGGCGAGAGCGTTGCGTTTTTGACCAAGAGCCCTTGGAAAGAGGTGCTGGACGAGTGTGCAATCTCGCACTCGCGGCTGCAGGGCCTGGATTGGAAGTTCCTGAGCCTCGACGATGCTTTGATTCTGTACCGCTATGCAAAGGGAATTCCAGAGAGAAGAAAGCAGTTTCAAGAGCTCTTTCTGGGACCAGTTTCCGAAGAAACAAAGGACTCTTCCATCGCGCTGATGAATCAACTACTACCCGTGTATAACCACGTCAAGGAGCTCGCAACCCAAGCGCGTGTCAAGGGCCTTGAAGTAGGCGAGTTAACAGAGTCACCCAACCCCGGCGGTCTTACAAAGATGCGATATAGCTTCATCAGCGCGCTGCTGGCATTGACCTTCCAAGCCATGATCGTTGGGCAGATGAACATGCTGCACATGCTAATCCAACTGAACAAGCTGGGCGGCGACGATCCAGAGCTTGGTGCTTCTTTCTGGGCTCAATATCGCTCCGCCGCCCAGGACTTCTGGAAGTTCCTGCCGTACTTTTATGAGTTGGATTCCGTCGTTGCTTGGCACTTTCTCCCGTCTCTCTGTCTCACATGGGAGGCCGCGGAGGAGGAGCACGAGCAAGAGGCAATAATGAATATGGTCCTATACATGGATAGTTATCTTCAGAGATGGAGTAAAGAACCCAACATAGTCAAGATTTCAATGTTGGAAACTGCAAAGCTATTGACCGGACGTCGTCCAGACTTGGCTATACTGTAGCTTCAATCTATTACACTATACATCAATTGGGCTTGTTCATCGCTCCATTGGTTCTTGACAATGACCCTTGTACGCGATGTCTTAACATATGACCAGATTCTGAATGCTTTTTCATTTCAATTAACTTCTGTAATACATGATAATGTCCAATCTTAAAGCTCTTCATTAAATAAAGACACATAGAGCTCTCACTTTTTCAACACACCTGTAAATGCTTCACCCGTCCTGGTATCTCCATGTCCGTTCGACAAACACCTAACAACAGCCGCCATACTCCTCTTCGCTTCCCAAGTTTCAATTTAGATTTCAATGTACATTCCAACAATAGTTCCCATTCTCTCACTTCCACTTTAATTTGTATTTATGCCTTCTTCTCCGCGGTCCAAGAAGCAATTAGATCCTAAAACACACGTTAGCCCAGGTGAACTGCAAGTGAAACGATGATTCATACCATAAGAGGAGGCGAAAGCGAGTCAAACGTCTCCAACCCAATCGACTTGAGCTTGGCCCTCACATCCCCCATCTTCCCCGCATCGAAGCCCTGCTCGATAATCGACGACACAAACGCCGCAAACTGCGGCTCCTGCCACCCCTTGTCCTCCGACAGCTCCACGTGCACAAAGTCGAGCCCCTTGAAGGGATGCTCGGCCTCGATCCGCCCGTACATGTGGCACCCGCACTCCTCGCACGCGTGCCGCTGGATCGCCGCCTTGTCGTCGACCACGTACAGCTTGTCCCCGTTGGCCGTCACGCGCAGCTGGTCGCGTGGGATGACGCCCACAATGGAGAAGAGCGCGCCCTCGGGCTTCCAGCACTTGGAGCAGCCGCAGGCGTGGTTGTGGGCGACGTTGCCGTCGAGGGTCACCTCGACGGTGCGGGAGGCGCAGTGGCACCGGAGCTTGCCGCCGGAGAACTTGGGGTCGCCCTTCTTGATGCCCGAGTCGAGTAGGGGGTGGAGGGGAGGGGAGGAGCGGGCGGCGCTGGTCTTGTAGTAGTGGGTGATTGCGGCGGCGGCCGAGACGAGGGACCCGGCGAGGATGGCCGAGGAGGCGTACTTGTGCTTCTTGACAAGGGCGGTGGCCATGGCGGTCGATGTGTAGGTGATTTGGTGTGAATTGGGTCTGGATGCGAGGTCGAGGTGAGCGAGAGGATGGGGAGGAGGGAGAGATTGAAGTTGGATTCCAGTAGAGAGGACAGTTGACCATACCCTTTGCATAATATTTTATTCAACGGCCTTCGACCACAGTCAAGCCGTAGTCGGAACGTCTTCCGGAACAGATACCGAGTTTGTCCCGTTGCATCTTACTGGTTGGGGAAAAGGTATCCGGAGAAGTGGGCTGGAGTGCGGCAACGCTAGCCCAGTCTCCTATCAACCCTGCGTTTGATGAGAATCCCGGTGATATGATTCGTCCGATCAGTGTCTCGGTCTCTTGCACACCGTTGTACACAAAGTTGGAGACATGAGCTTAGGACTCAACGACGGACGCGCTCCGGATTTCGGTTTGTTGCCCCTTTCCTTCCCCACAATGCCCCTAAGGAACCTGAAATGCAAGACCATGCTAGGATTGAGGCCAAGCCATGTTGATCTGGTTTTCAAGCAGTCCCAAATTGGCTGGGAAGGCATTTCAGCTGCTTGGGGAGGCCCTTTATATAGGTGAGAGATGTGATATCACCTGGGTCGGGGGCGAGCCCGATGGTGTACTACCCCGCAGAATGAGGACGGGGTTTCCCCTCTCAATGACAGGTGACGGTGACGTTTGAGTACGCGTTCAGGTTGCAAAACTGACTTCTTACCCCTCCCTGTAAGATACAGCCTAATTGAAGTCTTCGATTGTTATACCAATGGAATAGCTGTTCTCCGTACGTTATATTGTATTCACGGTGTAGTCATTGTGCTGAGATCCCTGTCTGGTCTCTTCCGTTGCAGTCTTTGTTTACTTGATACTCACATTCTAATCAGAATGTTGTATTCACGGATGCCATCAACCTTTAATCTCGCAAGAAGCTACAGGATGATGATGATGGTATTCTAAAAGTAATTGGTAACATGAGTAACTCGGTCTAGGGACATTCTTGAGTACTTATAATCATCGTGTGGAGCTGCAATGCCTTGGTCATGCCTACTCCGCCCCAAGCAAAGAAGCAGACCACCAACTTCCACCGAAACTAGACCTTGGTAGGTTAGGATGCTCTCCCTACAGCAAGTAGGCTCAGACATCGTCCAATGCCCCCGTTCTCCACCCCGTAAAGGAAATCCCACTCAGCTTCGTGTTCAGGAGATCAGTGTTAAGAATTTCATCCTTCCTGGCCTTCAACTCATTCACATCCCAATTTACCCACACAAACTTCCCCTTGAGAAATCCGGCCTCGGGGCTGACCAGCCACAAGCAAAAGTGGCCAGGCAAATCGACTACCACACTGTCAGTTGTCTCATTCAACGCGAGCTGAGGAAAAATGCCGTATGAACGGAATCTTAGGTAAACTCACTATGGTCCATGCCGCCGTGACCGCTCCTTTGGCTCATCTTACTTTCAATGAGCCCGGGATGCACATTAACGACATGCAGCCCGGGGTTCTCAATCGCAATGTAGTCAAACAGCTTCGTAGCAGCTATTTTGCTTGCGGCATAGGCAGATACCCCAGGCTCGAGGGGCGGCATATGAGCGATGGCTGTCGAGATATGGAGCACATGTGCCCCCTCGGCCGCGTATTTGGCGAATCCCTGGAACGTGTATAGTCCCCCGAGGATGTTGGTGTTGAAGGTGCTCCACCAGTCTGTCAAGTCAAAGTCCGTGTTGAGCACAGGCTTAGAGACCGGCAGGTACCCAGAGTTGCAGACAAGGACGTGGATCCTGCCAAATTCATTGGAAATCTTTACGAACGCGGCATCCACTTGCTCCTTGTTGGTGATGTCTGCAGGGACGGCCAGGACTCGGGTACTTGGAAACTCCTCTTCGATGGACTTTTTAGTCGCGAGAAGATTCTTTTCTGTTCGGCTCACGATGGCTATCTTGGTACTTCCACCGGCTGCAAAAGCCTTTGCGATGCTCTCGCCAATGCCGCTGCCACCGCCAGTGATGACAACGGTCTTGTTTGAGGCTGAAAGCTCAGGGCGTGTTGGCGATATGTCAGGGTAAGACTCGCCGTGCCATATCTTGGTAAGAGATGGGAAGAATGGAGATGTCATGTTTGGTTGAGAACTGAAGGCTTTTTGGGCTTCTTGGATGTGATCGATGAAGGTAGAGCGCTTGGGTACAGACTCAGCGACCCTCTTATATACTTTTCTCTGGCCCTGGTTTCTTGGACGAAGAAAGATGACAAGCCTTCTCCACATAATCTGTGGTACTTCTCCGAAGAAGCTTTTCTCGAGCTCGGGGAAAGCAGTTAATCCTCGGAACTGTCTAATCCCCTTGTCCGAGGTTACCAGCTGGATCTCACCCTTGATCCTAAGAATTTTGACCCAACACAAGTTTCGACTTGTACTGTCTATAGATAAACACCTTTAGAAGAATTTGGGAGTGTTTCAATTACAAGATTACTTCTCTAGCAGATCAGATCCGCCGCTAATGTCACCAAGAGACCGAGCGAGTCGGCGTAAGCATACCATCCATCATTCTGATTGCCAACTCTGCCCTTTAGCTGAACAAGATCGCCGATTTTAAGCATTCCGTGCACAGCATTCTGATATTGGTATTCCGTGTAGTCAATTGCCCAATCAGCCTCGTTCTCAGCTCGCCATAACTTCATAGGGGATGGCGCGGGGAAGTGGGAGTATTCCGTCATGCCCTCAGATGGCGGCGAAATCTGGGCGTGGAGGATACGGGTGATGACGACAACCGTGCTCGAGGTGCTTGAAGATTTAGTTCAGTCTTATTTTTCACAGTAAACGGTCCGGCATGGTACTTACCGACGACGGGATTCGTTGAACACCCAGTCCTTCCAGGGCATCTCCCGGCCCGCAACTTCCTCTGGGCTGATGAGCTTGCCATATTTCATAGTGAGATGCTTACAGATTGCCTGCAATGATTTTATTGTCAGCACACCGATGCTTGTGTAAATACTTTGCTAGACTGGGCGTACATTCAGCGAGATTAAAAGCTGGCTATCAAAGTTGGTATACTCGTGGCGTCCCTCTATAATCCTCAGGAGCATATACACAACCAGAGCTTGTAAAGCCTGTAGGAGCTCCCACCGACTAAAACTAAGGTGCTACCAGTAATGCGTACGGTCAGAAATCTAACACATTGCAATGTATGAAGCTGGAGAAGTGCGGTACTCACCTCGTTTAGCAGTCGCTCCTGTTCGATCCGAATCAACCCCCACATCAACCCCTTGTTTACTCGTCTATCATGCAGAAGCATCTTGACGAGGTTCAGTGAAGCATAAAGAGGGCTCGGGCGCGTCGTGTTGCCTTCATCTAGTGATTCATATTGCGGGTGAATAAACGGAGGAACGGCGCCCTGGCTGGCAATCATGTATGGGTAGGATCGCAGGATATGCAGGGCAACGTCGCTGGCAAGCCCAAGCTCTGTTTCGGGGAAGTCACGTTTTTGAAATAGAGAAGAAGAACTATTAAGTTCCAGTGCCATTGGGATCGAAGAGCCTGGACGAATTGACTGCGCCGGGAGACTCACAGTACCACTTGTAGGTTGTAACTCATTGCCTCTGGGGTCAGAAGCAACGTCTTGTTCGGCAACATATTCATCAACCAAGCTAGACGCTAGATTAGGTACATAGGACCAATCAGGCTCGAATAAGCTGTCCTCAAAGTTGAAACCTGTGAGCAAAAGGTTGTTGTTGCTGGATGCATTCTCTGTGCCGATGGGAGGACTACCCTGGCTGGGCACTATCTCGCTAGAGGGTTGGGTAGAGGTTTCCTGGTTGAACGAGCCGCCATGGTCCATATACGACGGCTGCACAAGGCTAATGCCGTTCCCTGCGGTCTCGGGGTGGGCATTCCGGATATTTGGAGTACTCTGATAAGTGCAAGGAATGCCTCTGGAAGCGCACCGGGAACAACCCCCAAGGCTTCGGCTACAGCGGACCTTGGACCGCACGCATGCTTCGCAGGCTTTTCTCCTAGGCGTAGGGCCTTCTTTGTGCTTCTTTCGACAGTACGAAACGTGTTTGCTCTTGGATCGCGCTGCAGGGGTCAGAGGGAGTCATGTGGTTTCGCTAATGGCCGCTTACCGTTGGTGTCACTGGCATATGTCTTTCCACAAACGGGGCAGTGAAGACTGCTGCGGCAGGTCTCTGAATCCTCCATTGGGGTGGAATAACCTTCGACGGTTGCTCCAAGTAATCAGTTGATTGAGCAGTAATACCTCATGCTCTGTCCCTTGTGCCGGACTTCGTATCAGGCCTCGGAGAAGTTTGGGATATGCCCCACATCTGACTACGGAACTCCGTCGTACATTGCAGCCACATGGTTGTTGATTAATAATGTGCCTCTTCCCCTGCCTAGCTTCTAATATGTCACGTTTATTTGATGATTAAAGAATTCCGCATAGGAAACCACCCCCTTATTAGGCTGTTTCCTCAGGTCAACATGGCTTCATTATAGCATCAAAGACTAATGCTTACTGCTGCTATGATTAGGAGGGGCAGTGTAGAAGAAGATTCGATGGATGGGTGGATAGGAATTGGGCAATAGTTTCAACCCCTTGTGGCGACTGAGCAATCATTCTAGAGCAGAATTCTCGGCAGCTTAGTACGAACGTCGTATGAATTTATTGCTAAATTTGACTAATTCGGGCTATGTAGTCTCTCCGCTTCTGGCGATCAATCTCAATCTGGAGAGCATATGGATGCCCTCAACATCCAGTGAGAATCTGAGGATGATAGGTTGGGCTTCAACGCATGACCAGGATTCACCTAAGACGCTAATTCAAAGGCTCTCGGACGGCAGAGATATACTAGACAGAGACGTTATGAGTTAGGCCAGTTAAGAAAAAGCTTGATAGAACTGCATGTCACTTACGGGGATGAAATTGGCAGTGTCAATGTCCCATACTCCGTTCACCGTATAAGGGTCGTTCTTGACAAACTCCTTGGCTTCCTCGAGGTTTTCGACTGCATAAATGATCACACTGCCCTTGGCATCGGGGAACTGCCCCTCCGGTGGGTGAGTGCTCACTTGCGCCCCTTAAATGATGTCAGTTTGTGTCGGGTGAATGAATCTTGCTTGGGATGTCACTCATACCTCCGGCGACAACTTTTCCTGCTGCAATGAGCGGCTTCATAGCTGCAAGATGTTGACTACAGGACCGTTAGCAAGATATACCTCTCATCTTCGGACATGTGTATTGCTCACGGCCGAATCTCCTTCCGTTTCTCAAGCACGCCGGGCTTGTCATTAATGATGAGAATGAATTCCTTTTTGGCTGCCATCTTGAATTATTTTCTGATTTTCTGCTTGTCACAATGTTTGTAGGTTGTTGAGAAGAATCGGACGATTACAAATACCCCGCAACCGCCCTTGTTTTATCCTCCGATTTCGGAATCGGAATCGGGTCATGTAGGCATATTCGCGCAGCTAACAATTTTAATTATCATCAAGCCATCAGTATTGGGAGCCGCCAAGCCGTATGATATACTAGTTACAGTATTCTAGGATGAACAGTCTTAGATTCTACATGTAAGATAAACTCAAATGTGAACACGATCCTATTTCCTTCATAACCAGGTAAAGTTCGCCTAGTTTAGTTCCAAGCAAAGTCCGAAGAATAAAGTAAAAAAATAATATGAGCATCGAAAGTATAACAAATAGAATACCCCAAATTCCATTCTTGACATTGACCACAACTTCTCCATCTCTAGAAACGATATACAAATCTTAGCATCTGATACCACAAGCACCGCCTAAAGAAGAACCTGCTCTTGGCTTAATTTGTACCATGGCTATACATGTCATCATATTTATTGTTATACTTCTGCTATACATGCTGTCAAGATGTTGCCATACTTATTGGCACACTTCAAACTCGAGAGATCGCCTCAAAACGCGTTTTCCCAACATACCGTTGAAATATCTTCAATCATGTGATTCACGTTGTTTTTCGCCTGCCTTATTATTGCTGGTCGTGCCTTGCGTATCATTCCACTCATATTAAAGGAAAGTAGTTCAGGGTTCGCCGCTTAGACTAGCTATGTTCTCCCTCGTCAACACTCTTCTCTGTTACCTGAACCGAACTCTTGCCACCCTTGCCACTATCTTCAGGCGTATATGGCGGGGGAGGTTCTGCCTTGGAAGACTCTCGTTTACTAGCAGGGCTCCTTGATGCCCAATCGCGGATGATTAGTCTGTCCATTCTAGGCTTCCAAGAAGTCGAGTTCAGTCGCTCTGCCTGTAGAGGAACTTCATTGCGGAGCAAATTCGCAATCTCCAGTGCATACTTCCTGAGGCGCAATGCCTGTGAAGATTGTTCCCCTCCAATGGCTTCTATCACTTCGATGTGAGGTTGGAACCATTCTTTTATCTCACAAGAGCCCTCGTGAATGCAATAATCAAGGATTTGAAGTGATTTAAAGGCGCTGGGTGGATTCTTATCCCAGCTTTTGAGATCATCTAGCAAACAGTCGCATAAATTGAGGACATGTTGATCTCTTAAGGAAGCATCAGTAAACGTAGTATGCGAGCAGCTGGAACAAACTGAATACATACGATTGAACGCTGTGGTTGGCTATCTTCCGCAGTTCACTATCTTTGGGTGCGGTCGATTCGTCCAACGTGGTGATTTCAGCTATCAGCCACGTGGACTTCAATGCACTCCAGATGCCAGCCATTTGGTCTTCGATCTGTGGTATTTTTCTTGTTTTTTTTTTCGGAGCTGATACTGCGATTTCAAAGAGACAGTATGAGCTCAGTGCTGAGTTGGAGGACTGATGACTTGTCGAGATACTGAGGATGGCCGTAACTCATCGGAGTAGCCTCTTAACTACTGTTAACAGGGGATGTCAGGCCATCCGGGTTTAACTCGAGCGCACGGACTGCCAAGGGGTCGCCTTACGTAGCATGTTGCTTTTTATATCGGAGGGGGCGTCATAGAGTGTCATCAGGAAGCGCATTATGTAAGATCAAGTAGTTCTAGTCAGACAAACCCAATTAGTGGTCACCTCAATCTCATGTTATCTCATTCACAAGTACTTGGCAAGGTGACTACTCACTAGCTACTCAAGCGATCAATATGAAAGTGTACTAATTGTGCGGCTTCTTGGAGGCCAGAGTCGACTGCTTTCCCTTCAACGTGATCCCTACCCTTGATTTGGAATGCCTTCTTCATCAATATTAGATATAGAGTACATCGTTCCATCCACTCCATAGTCTATCTATGTATCCTTTCCCAAACGCAGGTCACACATCTAGAGTCTATATACATAGCCTTCAGTATCACCTAGTGCTGCTCGTCATGCGCAGCAGTAGAATCGGTTAAATCACTCTAGAGCGCTCGCTTGCTGCATCAGTTGGCTCGTCTTAGAAAGGCCGAGGCTTATTAGGCCAATCATGGGTTTGGCAAGAATACGATACAGAAAGTCCAGGCAAACTTGACCAAGCTCCCTGATAGTATCGAAACGCGCATATAGAAGTGCTGACGATGGGAGACACCAATAATAAAAAATCTCACAGATGCACTTACATATACACTTTCTATTCTTCCTCCGCTAGTCTCTTGTTCCATATCTTCAGTAAACTTCTTTTTTAATTATTATGTATCGGTCAAACTATACGGACCCTCTATATTGTCTCTCATCATCACTTGCTTTGGATAATCTATCTCACGCCCCAGCTGCTTCCCTGAGCAAGCCTCTGTCCCGCCCGTTGCAAGGGAGGCTTGCAATCAAGAAGACCTCATGCGCAAATGAACTATATCATAGCCCTTAATTTAGACATGCCATCGCCTCGTAAGTTCAGGGCGGGATCTGTCTATTTGTAGGCGGATTTGGTGGTGGCTAAGGGAAACGTGAGCATCATGCTTAAGCGGGGACCAGCGAGCGAGGGAAAGCTAGCAAAATAGATACACATCTTTCACCGCAAGAGTTGTCATTTCAACTCAGATGACGGAGCAGCTATGAAGCTCACGGAGGGCATGATATCTGTGATAGCGACTTCAAGATGAACTATCAGAACCTAAAGGGGACTTGTTGCGCTAGGACTCTGTTCTGCAGTAAATGCTTATATCTAGCTGGATAAGTTCTACTGTGAAACATCTAGGTTTTATAACACCTCTTCACATCTACTTAGATCCCAGGTTCGCTTTCTGCAGTTGTTTTAGTTAATAATGGCTAATTTTGAGTAAACTCATCAACTACGGACCACTCTAGATATTGGTAGACTTTTGATAATATCAAAATTCAATGGATCAAGGGAAAATGACCCGCTTGTTGTGGTTTTGGACGTTGAGATTAAATTTTTGCAATGACATTGTGCACAACTAACTATCTAAATTCTAGGCCTAAATTCATAAATCATTAATCGAAGTTTCCAAGAAACTCAATCGCATTGAACAGTGGAATGGGTTGGATTTATTCATTCCCCGTTTAGTTCTGGTTCTGAAAGGAGTGCCACGAATGGCTGTAGGGTAGTGTAAGGCTGTACAGGGCGACAACATCAGGCTCTGAAACGTCGCCCAGCCTCCTAGATATGATTTATGGAATCAGTACTCTTTAGTTAGCAAGGACCAATTGATACGTTGTACAAAATGCAAGTTATTTGTGCACTTTGTTCCTGCAGGAGCCAGCCACTCGGACTTCGTATTGGAATACGATGGCAGGGTGCGATGTTTCAGGCGTTCAGCTCGCCTTGCCAGGGAAATTAGTAATGAGGTTTATGCTGCTTATTGGGTACGCTACCGCCGAAACGCAAATTACAATTATTAAAGCGTAGGGGAAATGGAGGAGACAACGGGCTACGCGAAGCTACAAGTGTAGCTTCGTCAATACACACCAGTGTCAACGATCAAACAGCGCTATGATCTGTCTCACGGCGAATGGAAGCGAGGGGAAGCGCCAAGAGGATTCAGCCGGCGTGAAAAGTCTTGTCACTAAACACGGAACGGGCTAGTGGCGTGACTGCTTAGCATCAGGTTCTTTTTTGGCATGTTACTGCTATTGTTTCATATTCTCATAATATATACAGGGGTCATCGAGACCAGTCAAATATTGGCAATTGAAAACAAACACAAGAATCGAGGTTCCTGTAGGTAAAAAAGTTTTGCTTGGTAGCATTCAAGAACGGCTAAATTTTCTTTCTTTCTGGAGAGGGCCAAAAAAACGAATATACAAGTGCGATCACCGCCAAACCGGATCTCTGGGCGTTGCCAAGAGTCTAGGCTCTGGACAGGGGTCGCTCGGGATTAACGTGCCGATTGACACGAGGGTCCCTGGCTAGGCGTCTAGGAGTGGTGGACTCCGTGGTTGTGGGTAAGGAGATGGCGGGCGTGGGCACGCTGGTGCTTCTCGGGGACCGCCTCCTCAGCTCGCTCAGCGGGAGAGGGAGCAGCTGCGTGCTCATCGCGGGTGGTGAAGATGTGGATAGGCTGGCAGAGGTCGAGCCACATGTCGCCAGTGTCGACAGGGCAGTTCTTGGTGTTGGGATCGTCAGGGTGCTGGTAGCTGTCGAGGCAAGTCTGCCCAGCAGTGCAGTGCAGTTGAACACAGGAGCCGGAACCCACGCCCTTGCCAGTTGGGCTGACCTTGACGTTGTCGTTGAAGAAGGGCGTTCCGACGAGACCATTGCCCTTGCCATCGAGGTCGCTCAAGTCCCAGTAGAGTCCACCGTATTCTCCGGAGGCCACGGAATATTCGAACTGGAGGACGCCCTCAATGCCCTTCTTGGAGATCTTGAGCGAGGTTCCAGCACCATTTGCGATCCAGTCGAAGGTAGTGATTTCACCCTTCTTGATGGTCCATGGGGTGCTGCCGGCGGTGATACAGACACCGTCTGGACCAGAATCGCAACCGCCGTTGTGGGAGGAGACGACGGAAACCTCGACGTCGCAGTAGTTGTGGATCTTGAGGGAGGCAGAGGCACCGGAGGCCATGGCAGCAACGGCTGCGGTGTACTTCAAGCTGACCATTGTTTCGGTGGATGAGATATCAAATCTGTTCGAGTAGGTAGTTTGTTGAGAAGAAAGGAAGGCTGCAGCTAGCGCGGCTCGGAGTTCCAACGACGGTGAATCAAGAATGAATGACTGTGGTAAGGATCGCTGGGGACCAAAATGAACGTGAATGCGTAAACGCGTGTGCAAAGAAAGCAATATGGGATGATATGGTGGGAGGGCCCCTTTTGTATCCGCATAAACGTGATTCTCCTCCTGCACAGAGAGAGAGAGAACTGACCCGTGTAAGCGCCCACAGCCCAACCATTGGCCAACACTCAACTCTCCCCCCCCATCAGCTGACAGGGACGCTGACAGGAACGAAGCTACGAATCCTGACCAGGCCTCCGTGCAGCCCCCGCCGTGATGGGACCAATGAAGTCCAAGCTTTAATTAGATCATGTTGCGTGATTAACGCACCCTATTCCAGAAGGTCCAAAAAAGCCTCTGTTGGCTGTGTTTGAGGCTGTTGTCCCCGACAAGGGTGCCTCCCGGATCTGTGAATAGAAACAGGGGCAGCCGACCAGTCACATCCTGCCAGCCATCACCATGCGTCGCAGGTAAGCAAGGATCCTCCCGGTGCCTGACTAAATGTCTCAGAACCTGCACACCTTCAGATGGCGAGGGCTGATCATCTTCATTTGCCCGGTATTAGCATCCCTCCTTGCTGGTCGGTTGCTTGGAGATCAATAAGAGAAAGAAGAAGTTGCCGGATCTGGTGGAGTCAGAGAGACACAGGGGCATCTGAGCTCCCGCCGGTTAGTTCCTTGGCTGTCTTGGACATCGACCGCGGAGTCGGGACCGCCCTAGACCGCCAGGTTTGTCACTCGACAGGCATCCTTCCAAAAAGCCCGAGTGCGGCGGGTTGCACAGGCGATTGGTTGGTCGGGAATTCCGCGAAGTTGAAAGGGGCACCCGTCTCATGCAGCCCAGGCGCAGAACTTTTGGGTGGCAACGGAACATTGGGCTTCCTCCCCGAGAGTCACTTTGCGGTCTTGTTTAATCGTACACTTCATATTCTTCAAATCTGGGATTTAGCCTTAAACAGATCGACACGTTGTCAGGCACATGTGGATACATGCCGCTATCCAAAACACCATCAGATGCAGGAACTGAACGGTTGGCACGTGGTTTGCGTCTTCTCCACCGCCTTTAAGTGAAACATGTTCAAGATCTTGGGAAAATTGTGTATTTCTCATATTTCTCAGCTAGACTTTGTGACCTTGACGATAAAGACCCTGCAGGATGCCATCATGCAACCACTTTAGAACGTGTCACAACTCAGTTGGCCTGCCTCAATCAGCTGAGGTTCAAAGCTAACTCTAATATTTAAAATGAGGCGGACAATGACCATGAGCCACGTTGGGCCAAACAGTTCTGCTGTCACACTCTGAAGTGGCATATCGCTATTGGCCTCCCAAAGATCTGGGCCTGGTAGTAGCGGCCAGGTCTGTTGGGTCGGATTGGGTCGTTACGCTGATTTTTCCTCGGAATTGCAGGGACTACGTGGCCGGTCCACATCGTTGTGCCTTCTCAAGATCATGATGCTGATTGGAGAGCTGGTTATTAGGCAATTAGCCACGAAAACAGCTCAAGAAAACACCCTTGAAGGTCGTCTTTCGAAAGATGCTTATTTGGGTAGGATTGAAAGTAGACTGCATTGATTAATTACATAGCAAATTGGTTCTCAAGGCTCAGTCAGCTTGGTCCTTGCGTTGCGTTTCGCGTTGAGAGCATCCTCCACTCCGCTCTAGCTGCTGCTGAACTCCCAGTTCCTGGCCATTCTCTCCACCACCCCAAGTCGTGAATGAGCCTTACGCGTCTCCAATAAAACCTTCTCCACCCTCGGCTTGCGAACGCTCTCTGCTAGCTTGGAAATTCCTGGCATGTCTTGTCGGTGTGTACCTAGGGCCAGCAGTCGAAGACTCTCCACCCCTTCGATACCCATGTTGGCTCCTTGGCCTTGCACTGGTGTCATCGCGTGAGCAGCATCTCCAGTGATCATTGTACGACCGCGGGTCCAGGTTGGAAGGGGTTCGAGATCTTGAGGTTCCAACACTTTCACTTCCGTGCTTGCGCTGCAAACACTACCAGCTGTGATCACGCTAGTTTCTAACCCCGCTTAGGCAGGTTATTGTCAAACTTGCTCGACAATTCTTCTCAGGGGCTCGTGGAAGTCCGAAAACAAGTCCGCCAGTTGGTCAAGGTCTGCGTCCGTATACCATGATTCGGCCACAGTCTGGCTCGAGGGGCTGTTGCAAGTCTAGGTAGCTCATCCCGGAAGTCGACTCGCTTCTGCGCAAGAGCGTCGGCACCAAACTTATGCTTTAGATTCACATCAATGTCTTCTTTGACGGTGCCATCCTTCCCCGTAGGTTCGAAAGCCTAGGATAGGGACTGCGCCAGCAATAGTCTGGTTGTATCTAATGAACTCTAGAATCTTTACGCCGTTGGGAGCAATCATTATGCCCTGGCCACCAGTTGTTTTGCTGGCGTCGCCTCGCTCATAGATTTTCACATTATGGTGTTATCGGAACATACGTGCTGCCGTCAACCCAGCCAAACCTGAGCCGACAATGATGGTATTGAGCTTCTTCATCTTGGAAATACTGAGGCCGGAGGACGGTAATAATGTGTATATGTGAAATATCGATTTAAGGGAGAACGGCGTTGAATAAATCAGGTTTGGGTGTAGACGTCTCGAGCCGGTGCATGGCGTATATAGGTAATTTGGCAGCGTGAACCTGTTGAGCCAACACAGCTTATCTGTTAGAGATAGCATCTTCTTTGTTAGAGATAGCATCTTCCCTAGATGGTCTCCGATTCTAGGATAATGACGACCGCTGATTCCCAATGGTCGAAAACTGCCGGCTCTAACACAATCTCGGTGTCGTTGGCTCATGTAATTGTAGATCACTCGTATAATTGAGACCAAAACAAATGCCGAGCGACGATCATCACGATGAGACTTAAAACATTATCCACAATACTTGTTCTAGCGACTTCCTGATTCTCTTAGCGACCTGCACACCGGTGATCTATGCCTATCGAATGGAGCAGACGTGGCCAATCGGACAATGTAAATATGACGCATGGGGAATTTCCACTCCTCGCGTATGTGACAAATGCAGTGAGTCAGTAAACACAAGCAAGTGGATGGAATAAAACATGGCACATCGAGATAGTTCAGCATTGAATTTCAACACAATATCACAATAAATAACCCAGTATAAATATAATATCAAACTAAATATTATAGAGTAATTTATTATTCTCTTATTATTGTGTTTAGTTAAAAAACGGGGTCCCTGCCTTACACAAAAAGAGTTTTGGTGTGCCACGTTTTATTCTACCCACTTGACAGGGTACTTGAGGTGCCTTTTTTCTACCTATTTAGTAAGAACGAGGCCAAGTGGCCTTGGGATGGGCAAAGGCGAAGGTCCAAAAAGCATCCGGAGGAAAATCCAGAAACAGCCAACCCTGATGTCGGTAATCTAGGTAGCGGCGTCAAGGGAGTATGCGAGAGCTTCGGTGGTTACATCAAACTATTACAAGGGGGAAAATGAGAGTTGAACTCGACCGCATGTATCCTCCCACTTAGCTATGAGTTGCGAACCGATATTGAGGACTGGGTATATCACGCTGCTACACATGGCTCATAGGGATAATATAACGGAGTATCGATACTCTGTAGTTGATATGTCCCAAAAACAGGCCATGGAGGTCGCAAATGCAGAGTTTCATGTTGAAGCGGCTAGAGAGGTTAGCGAATTAACCAAGCAAGAGAGGCTAGCTGAGGACTAGGGTGCGATTGAAAAGTTAGCGCCTGCAAGGGCAATAAAAACCTCGTAGCTGGAAGATTTCAATGATCCGATACCAGATAGTAGTCGAAAGGTGCATGGGGTAGCCACAGGGAACTTGGGGTTTTTCTGATAATTGAGGACTAGCAAGACAACCATCCGAATTTGTACCCTCATTTCTTTATCTTCCTTTTTCACTATTCATTTAGTTCTGGTACGTACAACTATGAGAAGTGACTCAATCTCATCTAAATCATAAAGACACAGTGAGCTTGTCGATAGTGAGGTGAGGAGGGACGCTCGACTAATTGCAGAATTTAATGAAACTAACCGAAACCTCGTTTCTTCAATCGTAAGTTAATCACCTACTGAAAGAGGAAGGAATTTTTCGGATGAGTTTTGCTATTAATACGAATGTTGCCGGGTTTTCATTTTAGATCCTAAGCTACAACCGACAACCGCGCGGCGCGGACGTCCGGGCGTATACGGGCGAAACTCACACAGCTAGTCGAGCACTCTTACAGGAGAGCTCCACTCCGGAAATTTTGCTCTCACCCTCTACCTACTCTTCTAACTTCATGTTTGAAACCTCTCATGGAGATTAGGTGCAAGATGAACAGTGTTCTGCTTCGTAAACGCCGGATTAATAGCAATGAATCTCAATCTCTGTTACCTACGGGATATTAGCTCCGTGTGATAATAGTCAGAAACAGACATGAGCCCGTAATTTCAGTCGGCGGCGTGCCGGAGTCCCGGAACAGGGAAGCGTGGCTACTCGATAGCAGGGCTGCCGGTGGATGCGAATCCTTCGGTCAGGCACATGACAACTCTCCTCCCATTTACTATGGATTGTTATAAAATACTTGCATTGGACCTACAAACTTAGGAGGTTTCTCATGCTGTCGACACAACTTTAGTGATTCTTGCAAGGCTACCCGGTTCAACCATGTGCTCCATCAAGGCAACACTCCCTTTGGTGGCTATGGCAGCTGCCAAGTTCGCCATGGCGGCTTCTTGTGACTGCTACCTCATTGACGGTGCATACCCGACATACTACAAGTCGCACGGCTTCTGGGACTTCCGCTCTTTGTCCCAATATGCTGGGGTGCCTCCTGTCTTGGACTCCATTGACGCCAACAAGAACGCAGACTTCAGCAGCTCTTATTTCAACTGGGAGTCGGAGTTTGCTCAGTTTTGGGGACCACAGAATTGGGACAACGGCGCTGAAGACTTTGTCAATGTCAATTCGTATAACAACCTCTACATTGAAAAGAGCGGCGACAGCACATTCATGACTATGAGAACCGCTCGCCTCCCCAAATTTCAGACATCTGCTGAGTTTGAGAGCATGGACCTCCTTGACCATGCCTCCATCAGAATGTATTCGCGCACAATCGGTTCCCCTGGCGCATGCACAGCCGTGTTCACCTACCGTGAGGCAAACTCTCTCAAGGACGTGCAGGAGTCCGATATCGAGATCTTGACCAGCGACCCCAAGACATCAATCCAGTACACCAATCAGCCGTCCTATCTCGAAGACGGCACCATCATCGATGGCGCATCCAACAACATCTCTGTCTCCGTCCCCTGGAACGAATGGTCCACGCAGAGGCTGGACTGGACTCCTGGTCGTACTACCTGGTATATCAATGGGGACCAGACGTATACGATGACCTTTCAGGCACCAAAGGATCCAAGCAAAGTGAACTTCAACGCATGGAGTGATGGTGGTGATTGGACAGGCAAGATGCCTGAAGGCGGTGTTGCGTATCAACAGATCCAATGGATTGAGATTCTCTACAACGTTGTAGACAAGGCCTCATGCTCAAGCCTGTGCAGCATCGACGCCGATGGGGCCAAGCCTGGATCCCCGGTGAAAATATAAGGTTTCTGTTCTGAATACCGTCTATGTGTTAGAGTAGGCATCGATAGAATGTCAAGGGTATGAATCAAGGATACGATAACTTCAGTTCTAGATAACAATAAAATCCTCAATATCGTTAAACTATCCCGCTCTCATATGTACATATAAGAAGCTGAAACGAATGCATGCAAGGGCAGTTCATGTCACGGAGCATATTGTGGCGTAGAGAAAGACTTCAACAGTTGAGACACTATCCTTGAATTATCGCCGAGTTTGTCATTCAAGCAGCTGATGGGGCATCATGTTACCTAATTCGTTCCCACCCTGAAACAACATCTTGATCCATCTTGATTGTAGCACATGGGTAAAACATCTCCGCATTTTAGTATTTTTACATCAAATGCCACGCCTTAGACGAACATTCTTTTCATCAACTGTAGAAGTTATTTTCCTATTTAGCCTGCTCTATTCCACATATTTGGCTAGCCAGGATAGCCGATCTTGGTTGGTGCTAGAAATAGACAGGAGCTTCGAGGAAATCTGATTGGAACTGAACTTCGGCGAGAATCAAGCTCAAAAAAGGCGCATTCTTCCGGTCTCTTATCCTTTGCATCCTATTCAGCACAACTACGTTGTAACTTTCAGTTCTTTGGTAAATCAGTGCTACTTAATATCGTACCGAAAGTAAGAAGGGTAGAAAGAAAAGTATGAGGCACAGAAAAGATTCTGTGTGATAGACGCTAGACATGTCCAGAAACAATTCGGAATTGAAAGTAACATTATCAACGACGAAATTTTCGTTCAAGTGTTCATTGTGTTGTCCACCAATGTATGTATTTACAGAGCGTTTTGTTCTCTACATGTAAACCACAGCTTATAAGTTGTCAAGATTTAAGGTTATTTTCTTTGAGCAGAGACAGACGTGCGCAGTGAATATCGTGTTTGAATGTGGCTTCAGCTTGTTACAACCAACCCTTCCACTATGCGCGGATGGAAGTAAAGGTGCATGCAAATAAATTAACCACAGCATCGCGAAACAAAATGACGATTTCTAGAAAAGTGTTTATAAATGACTAAGTCTGAGTCAAGCCGAGCATCCCGTCGGGTATCAAATTCCCTTCATTTAGTATTTCTAGGACAGTCAAGAGCTGCTTGCGATGTGCTTGGAGAGTAAGTGAAAGAGAGTGAGATTTGAATACTACTCCAGCCCTGCATCATATAGACGTGATAGAAGAAAACCAACTGAGGGTAACATTTTGGTATCATTCTTCAGCCCCCACAACCACAATAGATGTAGCCCCTGACAATCACACTTTCCCATCACATTGCCACACAGTGCCCGGTTTCAGCTGCGGTCTTCCATACGGATGTCACACGATCTCTGATTAGCTGCAGCTATGGCCCGCTCGCTCATGCAGCCAGACCAACAAGTTACAACGTGGGGGAGCGTTCTGTGCAACGTGTAGACGGGAAATGAGTGGATTGTTTCGTTTTGCTGCCTAGTTACCTCGGGAAGCGGAAGTCCGTTTAATTTAAATCCCCTCCTTTCTGAGATTTCATCAGATCCAAAATTTGCGCTTCTTTCTCCCTCCGATCGATAATCGCACGTTCATAGAACAGCTCTGTCATGATGCTGCTCTCTCTCGCCCTCCTTTGGATAACGTCCATGATCGGCCGGATCGGGGCCCTCGAATGTCGATGCTTTCCTGGAGACTCGTGTTGGCCTTCTTCTGATGACTGGGCCAGTCTCAATCAAACAGTCCAAGGGCGTCTTATCGCGACTATCCCTCTGGCCTCAGTATGCCACGACCCAACCTATGATGCAGAAGCTTGCACCGCCTTGAAACAGCGCTGGCCGTATGCTTCGGTACAGTCCGTACACCCAACTTCCTAGCACTCTGGACCATGAGTCTTCCTTTCTAATTCCATCTAGTATCCCCTCTTCGTCTTCGTTCAGCTCTCCGTGGGCTCAGAACCAGACTTGTGACCCGTACACACTACGAAACAAAACTTGCGAAATAGGCAACTATCCAGTCTATGCTGTGAATGCCTCGACCACAGATCACGTGGCCGCGACCTTGAAATTCGCCCGTGAGCACAACATCCGCCTCATCATCAAGAGCACTGGACACGACCTGCTGGGGAAGAGCAGCGGTGCAGGATCACTTTCCCTCTGGATGCACTCGTTCCAGGGCTTGAACTTTACGCAGGGTTATTCAGGATCCAACACGTACAACAACTACGAGGGTCCGGCTGTGCGCATCGAACCAGGTGTCATCGGCGGTGATGTCCAGATGGCCGCCCAGAAGGAGGGACTTCGTGTTATCGGAGGCACATGCGGCTCCGTCGCCATTGGAGGAGGCTATACCACCGGAGGCGGCCATTCCCTCCTCAGCGGCAAGTATGGCCTCAGCGCTGACAACGTGTTGGAATGGGAGGTGGTGACCGCGTCTGGAGAGCTCGTAACAGCAACACCGTCTCAGAACGAGGATCTCTATTGGGCTCTGAGTGGCGGTGGCGCCGGCGTCTTTGGTGTAATCGTGGGCGTCACTCTCAAAGCCTTTCCGGATGGCGTCGTCTCAGGAGCAGGAATCTCGTTCAACATCTCAGCCTCGCCTAGCGAAGATGCATTTTGGCTCGCGGTTGAGTCGTTTCATAATCATTTGCTGGAATGGCAGGATCAGTCCGCCACGGCCACGTACTCTTTTCGCGTTGGTACCTTTTCGATACAGCCTATCGTGTTGCCCGACCAAGATGAGGATGCTCTGCGTACGCTCATTGGACCGTTTCTCTCTGATCTCGACGAGCTTGAGATTCCGTATACCTCTCGTGTTGTAGCTTACCCAACATACCTCGACCTGCACGCTACCTACTACGGTCCTCTGCCAGAGGGACAAGTCCTCGCAGCTGTGGTGCAGGTCTCGCGATTACTCCCTCGATCACTTGTTAACTCTACGGAGGGGAAGAACTCATTGATCAGTACTCTGCAAACGATCCATTCCCTGGTAGGTGGCTCGTTAGCCATCGTTGGAAACGGGATAGCCGTCCCCAAGGCATCATCGGCATCTTTATCCAACTCTGTCAATCCCGCATGGCGCGATTCGGCCATCCATCAACTCATCGCCTGGCCCTGGAACTGGCAGGCCAGCCTGACCTCGAACCTTGAGGCGCAGGACACACTGCTTAATGTTGTGCTGCAGCTTCTGAAGGATTTGAGCCCGGGCTCTGGAACGTACTTGAATGAGGGCAACCCAGAGCAGGCGGATTGGAAGGAGGCCTTTTACGGGGAGAATTACGACAGGCTTCGGAGCATCAAGGCGAGGTGGGATCCCGATGATCTCTTCTATGCCGTCACGGGTGTTGGGAGCGATGACTGGGGTCTGGACAGTGTGGGAAGATTGTGTAAGGTGTGAGACGTCTAGTCTTTTGTGCATTGACAGCGCAGAGGTCTGGGCTGGTTTCCCGGATCCAAGGTATGTACTCAAAGTAGCTGAACATTTATTGCATTCTTGGGCTTCCGACAAGAGGATATCCCCGACGGAAATGTGTCTTGTTAGTTCCTCTACTCTCAGATAAACCCAAAAACACGGCTCGGATCTACCGTAAATAGTCAAATCTCTGTGCATCCGCTGCACCAAAATAGCTATTTACCGACTGCTTCGGACTAATCCAAGCAATAATGTGGTGCAGCCTTCTGCATAAGCTTTCAACGCGCAGCTCTCTTATCAAATATGTCTCGGAAAAGAAATTTGGCTGACGAGCGCAATGCAATTACCCCTCTCTTCAGCCCCCTCGATGTGCACACCCTCATCTATCCCACCAATAAGTACATGATGTTACAGCCGAGAATCGGTAAGATGGAGTGCAGCCAACAGTTGGGGGTGGCGCGCTTATGTTGCCTCCGCCGGGTCGCCTCAGTCGGTAAATTCCATGGTAACAGCTTCAGGTGGTGGTCAGAAGGCTCGATTCTAGGCTCTCAGGTCGAGATTTACCAATGTATATCACAGGGTAGTAAATATGGGATATCCAAGGGTCGCGCTGGGTCTATTTAAGACATCTCTGGGCCCCAAGGTTAGCCGACAACCAGACCCAGTTCGCCAGTGCCGGTTCCGCCTGGATCCCCGTCTGTTATTCGCCTTGTTCAAGCTTTCCAGGGCCCAAAACACGTGCGGGAACGGGTAATCAATCAGTCCTTGCGCGGTTGGGTGCCGGTGCCCCATGGCCTTGTGCCCCCCCATAACCCAAAGGTGAGCTCACTTGCTTGCCATGGGAGGATTCAGCTACTGAAACAAGGCGTTGGTTTAGGGAACAAAGACGCTAAAAATACCCAGCTGAGTTAGGACCATTGAGGGGGGTCGGCCAACTTGGAGTCAGGGGTACCGCCCTGTTATCTCAAACACACTTGAAGCCGGCTTAGCCGCAGAATTCTTTCCCCATGCGACGAAAACAAACGATCCCCAAGCTTCCCATCCTTACCCAACGACCAGAGAAGAGCCCAAACATCGAGCCATGAGCCCGCGAAACCGCCCTCCTGCGCCCAAGCCCAAGCCAGGCGCGCGGCAGGCGCCTGTGATTGACTCGACCGAGACGACGCATGACTTTACGTTTGTCAACACGACGGGGGCGCCCAACCTATCACAGCCGGCGGCCAAGCTCATGAGGGGCCATGTCACCAAGACGAATTTCGCAAAGAGGCGGCAGCGCCTGGCCAGCAGCGGCGGTGGCGACGTCGCCAACGAGTCCGCCGCAGGATCGGGGTCGGATAGGGGCAGCAGCAGCAAGCAGAGCACCGCGAGCCCCGAGGGGAATCAGACGGAGCCGGAGGACGACCTCGCGCAGATGAACCCCACTGGCTCGGATACGAGCTCACCTCCGTCCGCAGGCCTGCCCGGCTATGAGCAGATCCGTAAGTGGCATCTCGGGCCCTCGCCGACTCTCACCCAGTGCTTACCGTGTCTGTAGTTTCAAATTACCTCTCCATGGCGTATCTGGAGAAGAAGGAAGCAGCACAGAGCCCGGTC